TTTTAAAAAAATTCTACTTTCTTATTTTTCATTTTTTTTTGTTTTTACTGAATTTTTTTTAATATTTTAAGTAATTTTTTTAATTTATAGACATTCCTAACATAAATATACCTAAAAATTAAAAAAATTTGTGAAAAAAACCTTTTAAAAATTCACTAAAATACCAAAAATACAAAAAAAAATACGAGAATTCAGTACATTATTTGTATTTTTATGAATTTATTAATTTTTTAAAATATTTTTTCACAAATTTTTTACTTTTTAGATACATCTAAGTAAGGTGCATCTAAAAAAGTAAAAAAAAATGTTTAAAATTTTAAAAATATTCACTAAAAATAAAAAAATACGGAAACCAAAAAAACTCAGTTTTTAAAAAACTTAATCCAAAAAAGCAAAAAAAAAAATTTACACATAATTTTTTCAAAAAACTCCCTTAGTTTTTTTTTTTTTACACATATTTTTTTTTTTTTTTTTTTTTTTTTTTTTTTTTTTTTAAGGTGCACAACAAAAGCTAAATATACCTTCAATCTTTTTTCTTTCTTTTTTAATATATTTAATGTTAACAATTTTTAATATATTTTTTTAAAGGTTCACAAAAAAAACTAAATATACCTTCAAGCAAAATAAATGTCAAATCATTATGTTCCTTTATTAAAAATTTAATGGAACTTAAAATTCTAAATTAGTTAGGACTTAATGGAGTATTAATAAGTTCTAGATTAGAACTTGTGTGTAAATGTCTCATTTTTAAGCCTACTAACACCATATTATATACACGTTAAAATTAAGGGCCAATTACTAAGAAATCCTATTTAAAATAGGAGAAGTTTATTTAGTCTTACAACTTTTTGGATACTTTTAAAAGTCCACTACATATTTTCCTTCTTCATTCTTCTTTGTGCATTCATTCTTGTTTGTCTCTTTCTCTTTCTTTTCGGCGACTGGCAATCAACATATATCACTGGCAATCGACGACCACCATTGATTGAGGTTCATTACCAACCACCAATTTCTTACTACACTCTTACCGACGGCAAAGGAGACAAGTTTCTGACGAAAAAGATGAGTAGATATACTCATATCTTATGTAAATCTACATGAGAATAGATTAGATCTAAATAAAAAATAATTGTCAGAATACAATCTTCTCTATATATCTGTTTCTCTCTTTCGATTTCTCAATTTTTCTACCTTTCTCTGTCAAACACTTCTATTTTCCTATTTTAATGTAGAAAATTTTCAAATTCTAAACAAATTATTTTTTAGTTTTAGTTATAGGTGTTGAAAACTATAAAATTTTACAGTTTCAGTTTTTTTAGTGATGAAATGAATCATGCTTTAAAACTGCAAAATTTTGCAGTTTCATAACATTTTTTAGAACTGTTAAATTTTGTAATTTCATAGCATGTTTTCCGGTTTGATTAATAAAGATAAATGCTTAATAGAATCATGCTTGTTTTTCAGTTTGATTAATATTGAAAATTATTTGCTTAAACCCTACAAAAATTTTAAAATAATATATATTTTTCCCATTGTTGTTATTTTTTGTTATTTTTTGTTTTTTTTTTCTTTCAAGTTATCAATATTTAGTACATTTTGTTATGTTTTTTCACTATAATTTCTCCATTTATTATTTTTTTTCCATTGCAATATTCTGGACATTTCGGTGAAAATCTGATGATTTTCTTGACGTACAGCGAACATTCTGGACATTCTAACGACTTCCAGTGACGTTCAGAACACTCTAACAATATTCCTACAAACTTCCGGCAATACTCTTTACTCTAACGAACTTCTCAGTGATGTTGAACATTTCAGCGAGTTTCCAGTGACCATTTGACAAAAATCCAATTGTGGTGAGATGTAATATTGTTTTTAAATTTATATATAAAAAAATTAGATTTTGCAGTAACAATTAAAAATATAGAAGATTAATTGATGTAAGTTTTTTATTTTGAAATTAGATAAATTTTAAATTTTAAATTTTATATATGAGACTTAAAATTAATTGGGCGCCCTTAAAATTTGACAAAAATTTAGATTGGGCCAGGGCCGGCCCTGAAAATAGGCTTTGAAAATCTTACCCTCGCAAATTTCGCTTTTTACATAGGTCTTGTACACTGAATCTCTTATTTTTTTTCATGTGCATCTTGATTTTAAATCTCAACCCAATGATGTTTCTCAGTGACGTGGGCTTATGTGGCTGATTGATTGCATTATCTCAGAGAACTTTCTTGTATAGAAAGGCCCAATGGCCTGGAAAGTAGTGTTACTCTGCTTTCACCGCCCTCCAACAATCCTGAGGTAAGAAATCACCTGCTTACACAAAAACTACGAAGTATGATTACTTTAAAAATGTTATCGTATTCATCTCGCATATTTATTGGTGAGAGGGGAGATTTGCACCGGTTAGTACAGCCGGGCTACGGTAACACGGGTCGTGGCAAACCGCACGGCACCGAGCTGTTTTCTCTCCTGACGCGGCCCTTTGACCTGTTTTGCACGACTGAAGAGATTGGCCAACCAGGCACGATCTAAGGTCTGACCGAGCTGTGACCAGACGTTTGGCAGGGCACACGGTGACGTGTGTCAACCGATCTAAGAGCAGCCCGGGCTAGACTGATTACGGGGCGAGGACCGGCATGCCTCTAACCGGTTGGCCGAGGTGGACAGACTTCGTGTAACCGAAGATGAAGGTAGAACGGGGGGAGGCCGGTACGTCTCACGGCCGATCAACCAGGATGGACCGACCAAGAGTAGCTCGGCCATGAGAATCAGATTTTCGCTTCTTCCCCGAGGGATAGGTTGGCGAGATACAGCTCGGTTGTGCTGCTTGTGGTGGCAACTCTCCACAAGGGCTAGGTCGGTCGTGGTACTCCGGTTAAGTGAGCCACCTGGGCCAATGGCGTGAGGGAGAGGACATCTGCTCCAAGCACGCGTCAATACCGTTGGGCAGCTCTGCGTGTACTGGTTGAAGGACTAGGCCTTTACACGCGTGAGGTGGTGAGAGGCGAGCACTGCCACCTGTCTAGGGAAGGACAGCAGAGGTAGTGCGCGCACAATCTTGAGGCTGCATGGCTAGCCTAGAAATGGGGGAGGAAGATGAACGTGAGAGGTAAGCAACTTGCACTATCAGAAACACACACTCTCTCTCTCTAATGGCCTTCTTCTTCCTCCTCAAGTGATCTGACTTGATCGTCGGAGGGTCTATCCGGCACACCACCGCCGAGCAGCTCATCGTTCTCTGTGTTGCCAGGTTAGACGCCGATACGTGAGCCTTGGACTCCAAGGAGTACGAAAAGCAGAGGATATTTCGCCCTCGTACAATTGGCGCCGTCTGTGAGAATCTCTTTGATACTCAAGCCTTGTTTTTCAAGCTTCTTTAACCATCTCCATGGCCAACAACGATGAAACTCTACTGTCCGTCGTCGATGGCGTCACACCAGAGTCTGTCCGATGGAGAGAAGGCCACCCGAATGTTCTGACTATGGCGGGCCTAGAAACTTCTTCGCGAGGCGCGCTAAGTGAGCCACCTGGGCCAATGGCGTGAGGGAAAGGACATCTGCTCCAAGCACGCGTCAATACCGTTGGGCAGCTCTGCGTGTACTGGTTGAAGGACTAGGCCTTTACACGCGTGAGGTGGTGAGAGGCGAGCACTGCCACCTGTCTAGGGAAGGACAGCAGAGGTAGTGCGCGCACAATCTTGAGGCTGCATGGCTAGCCTAGAAATGGGGGAGGAAGATGAACGTGAGAGGTAAGCAACTTGCACTATCAGAAACACACACTCTCTCTCTCTAATGGCCTTCTTCTTCCTCCTCAAGTGATCTGACTTGATCGTCGGAGGGTCTATCCGGCACACCACCGCCGAGCAGCTCACCGTTCTCTGTGTTGCCAGGTTAGACGCCGATACGTGAGGCTTGGACTCCAAGGAGTACGGAAAGTAGAGGATATTTCGCCCTCGTACAATTGGTGCCGTCTGTGAGAATCTCTTTGATACTCAAGCCTTGTTTTTCAAGCTTTTTTAACCATCTCCATGGCCAACAACGACGAAACTCTACTGTCCGTCGTCGATGGCGTCACACCAGAGTCTGTCCGACGGAGAGAAGGCCACCCGAATGTTCTGACTATGGCGGGCCTAGAAACTTCTTCGCGAGGCGCGCGAGACAAACGCGGAAGGAGTACTGATCGCTCGAAGAGTCCAGAGGGCCGACGGCGGCGGGGGGGTCCCGTGCGCAGCACTTGCAGCACAAACTCAAAGACCAAGACACCCTTATTCGTAGGATGGCGACGAAGATGGAGATACTAAAACGTCAGATGGCAACCTCAGTGAGCGCACCCTGTCCCCCCGTTCTAGCAATCGCCGCCAGGAGAGGACCCACTCTCTCTCCATCACCAGGAACTATGGGGTTGGAGATTCCGACCGAAGGGAGGGCAGATCCCTCACTCGAGACAGCACATACCGTCCCTCACGCCATTCTCCGACGTCACGATACTCTTTCTCCACCCGTTCTAGAGACCTGAGGGACGTATTGGAGGAGAGGGCGCGCCGTCGAGAGGCTCAGAGAGTGCCGGCGTGGCAGAGGTTGAGCGCCCCAGTTCACTGTAGCGAAGAAGTGGCGATGCCAGCGCCTAGAGTGATGGCCCATGCACCAGTGGACAAAGAGCTGGCGAGACTTACAGCCACGCCGTTGTCTCCGGAGATCAAGAGTACAGTACTCCATGCCGAATTCCACCAGCCTAAGTTCACCTTGTACGACGGCAAAACGGATCCGTACATGCATGTGAGTCATTACCGGCAAGTAATGGCTGGCCACCGGCGCAATGACGCCTTGATGTGCCTCATATTCCCAGCAAGCTTAGGAGAACTGGGCCTGAAGTGGTTCGAAAGGCTTCCAGAAGGGAGTATAGAGGGGTGGCAGCAACTAGCGGAAGCCTTCGTCACCAGATTCAAAACCAACACTCGAACGTCGAAGGAGGTCGATCATCTTCTGGGCGTCAAGATGGAGTCAGGGAGATCATTGAAGGCATACAACGTGAGGTGCTGGGAAACTTACAACGAAATCCTCGACTGCCCAACCAATCTGGCGATCACTCAATACAAGCGGGGTCTCCCAGTCGGGCATAGGGTGTGGGATTCGCTCACAATGCACCAACCCACAACCATGGAGTCCTTGATACAGTGGATCAACGAGCACATTCATATGGAGGATGATGTCGCCTCCGCGACCGAGAAGGTTAATCCGGTCGCAGCGGACAGAAGGGTAGCAGGGAAAGTTCACTCGGTCGGACAGGAGGATAACCGCCCAAGCGACCGTCCAAGAGATCAACGATGTGGCCCAAACCGCAATGACAGAAACAAGGGTCGCAGGAACGACCGAGCTGACGCTCCCCGTGATGCAGCGGAGGATGCCAAGAGAAAATTGAAGGCGTGGACTGGAATCACCACGGTCTTTAAAATCCCTATCTACCGCATCTTGAGCGAGATCAGAGGCGAGCCTTTTGTCCGCTGGCCGGCCAAGTTGGGGAATGCACAGAGAGGCTTCAACTCAAGGTATCACTGCACCTTCCATGAGGAACGGGGACACCGAACGGAGGACTGCTTGCCGCTCAAACAACATTTGGAAGAGCTAGTGGCCGCAGGGCATCTTGACCAATAGATAGATGGGGGTGTGAAAGCCGCGCTATTGGAGCAAACCGAGCCAAACGGCCTGGCCGCCCTAGAGGCAGCACCCCAAGGCGTAATCAACGTCATCCACGGCATCGTTGAACCAGCAAGGGTCTACGAGCTCAGAGGGATGATTAAGAAAGCCGAGCACATGAGGGAAGTGCTCTCCGTTCGGCCCGCTGTGAAGAAAGGGAAGACCGAGGAGAAGGACATTCTTACCTTTTCGAGCAGGGACTTGGAGCGGATCCAGATGCCCCACAATGATGCCCTAGTGGTAACTCTTCGCGTCAAAGACATTGACATCAAGAGGATCTTGATCGACCAGGGGAGTTCGGTCGAAATTATGTACTATGACGCGTTCAAATAAATGAAGTTGGAGGACAAGGACTTGGCCCCTGCGACGTCCCCTCTGGTTGGCTTCAACTCTCAGCCAGAATGGCCGGTAGGGAAGATCATACTGCCGGTCAAAGCGGGTTCAGTCACAAAGCAAGTAGAGTTCTGGGTGCTCAAAGTCCCATCCACCTACAACTTAATTTTAGGCAGGGGCTGGTTGCACGCCATGCAAGTAGTAGCGTCGACTTACCATCAGGTCTTGCGCTTCCCAGTGCCAAACGGACAAATAGAGGAAGTGTGGGGAGACCAGGTGATGGCGAAACAATGCTTCGTTGCAGTAAATGGCAGCCGATCAGCTAAAGGATTTGTCCAAATGATTGAGGGACCCGAGGGAAATGAGGTCCTTGAAGACGTAGGAAGAAAGACCGAAGAAAAATCGGTCGAGGATTTGGTGGAAGTGCGCATCGACGAGAATGACCCAACTAAGTTCTTCCTCTTGGGATCATCTTTGTCTAGCGCCGAGCGGTTGGAGTATGTCAACTTCTTGGTTTCCAACATTGAGGCTTTTGCGTGGATGCCTTACGATATGCCTGGCATCGACCCTAACTTCATTTGCCATCAGTTGAATGTCTTCCCAAATGCGCGGCCCGTCATTTAGAGGACTCGCCGCTCGGCTCTGCACCATGCCGAGGTAGTGGCAGAAGAGGTCAAAAATCTGTTGGAAGTAGGAGCGATAGAAGAAGTGCAATACCCTCGTCGGATATCCAACACGGTGGTAGTCCCAAAAAAGAATGGCAAGTGGCGAGTCTGCGTTGACTACAAGACAGTTAACCATGCATGCCCAAAGGATAGCTTCCCCCTCCCTCGAATTGACCAGCTGGTGGACTTGATGGCTGGCCATCAGAGGTTTAGCTTCCTGGATGCATATCGCGGCTACCACCAGATAGCCATGTATGAACCGGACCGAGAGATCACGTCGTTCACTACTCCTAGAGGCCTGTATTGTTATAAAGTCATGCCGTTCGGACTGAAGAACGCCGGGACACCTTTTTAGAGGATGGTGACAAAGATGTTCGCTCCTCTTTTGGGCCGAACAATGGGGGCCTACATCGACGATATGGTGGTAAAGAGTAAGGAGAAGTCTCAACACCTCACTGACCTTGCAGAAATGTTTGCCATACTTAAGCGCCACAAACTTCATTTGAATGCCTCCAAGTGCGCCTTCGGAGTCGGCACCGGGAAGTTTCTGGGGTTTTTGGTCACAAACCGAGGAATTGAAGCCGACCCATCACAGATCAAGGCTATACAAGAGCTGGAGCGCCCAAACTCCACGAAGGACGTGCAACATCTTGCCGGGATGGCAGCCGCGCTGAACAGATTTATCAGCCGGTCTTTAGATCGTTGTAGGCCCTTCTTTAAAACTTTGAAGGCCAAGTTCTTTTGGGATGACGAATGTGACCGTGCACTGGCAGACTTAAAAATATACCTTTCCTCAGCCCCTATCTTAGTCACAACTCGGCCGGGCGAAGAGTTGTATCTCTACTTGGCAGTCTCTCAACATGCTGTGAGCGCCGTCCTAGTCCACGCTGAAGGCATCCAGCACTTGCCCATCTTCTATGTAAGCAAGACTTTGCTCCCGGCTGAGACGAGGTATCTTCCGCTGGAAAAATTAGCGCTGGCCCTGATGATGACATCACGAAAGCTAGCGCACTATTTTCATGCCCATACAATAGTTGTGTTAACCGAGTTCCCACTTAAGGTGCTTTTTGAAAAGGCAGACTTCACCGGAAGAATTTTGAAATGGGCCGTGGAATTGGGGCAGTACGATATCAAGTTCCGCCCACGCACCACAATCAAGGCTCAAGCTCTTGCAGACTTTGTGGCGGAATTCGCCCTTGGAACGCATCCAGTTTGCCCGGTTGATTTGGCTGGTGCGGATTTAGCGCAACCCATGGTTTTGGCAATAAAGACGAGTGTTGGCTCCAAAGTGGGAGAAGGCCGAAGAGCGACCGAACTAGAGGAGCTGGGTGACTTCTTGGAAGACGTGCTCAATCAAGACAAGGAAAGAGACCAGAATGAACCGATCAGAGACTTGGAATTGAGAAGCTCCCAGAACCCCTCTGATTGCTGGAAGCTGTTTATTAGCGAGATGTGGAAGCTCTTCGTCGATGGGGCATCCAACAAGCATGGGGCCGGGCTGGGTATCGTACTGCCTTCACTAGATGGGCTGATTATCGAGCAGGCAATTACGCTCGGCTTCTCAGCATCCAACAACGAAGCGGAGTATGAAACCCTCCTTGCCGGACTAAGAAGCGCATTGAGAATGAAGGCGTCAGCCCTGATGGTATTCAGCGATTCCAAGCTGGTGGTCAATCAGGTATCAGGGGAATATGAGGCAAGGGACAAAAGAATGGCCAAGTATCAGGCGCTGGTACACGCAGAGATCACAAAGTTCGCCGCAATAAGGATGAAACAAATCAACCGCGAGGAAAACAACGCGGCTGATGAATTGGCCGGACTTGCTTCTACTCAGACAGCTTTTCCTAACCCCTTGATGATAGAATTTTTACCTCGGCCAAGCATTGAGGAACCGGAAGTGACCGAGGTACTCTCTCCCTACTTGGGTTCTTCCTCCATTATCGTCTTCCTAAAAGATAGAGTTCTACTGCAAGAAAAGAAGGCGGCCAACAAGATTCGGGCCAAGTCAGAGCAGTTTTGGCTCTCCCCGTCCGGAGCCTTGTATAAGAAGTCTTTTATCGGGCTGTATCTGAAATGTGTCCACCCAGCCAAGGTGGAAGCTTTTCTCTATGAGATCCATGAAGGCATCTGCGGCAGCCATACTAGGGCAGATCTTTGGCTTACCGAGCAATTTTCCAAGGTTATTGGTGGCCGTGCATGCAGGCAGACGCACAGAAATACGTTCGCAGATGTGAAAAGTGCCAGAAATTTGCTCACTAGATCCACCAGCCAGCGAGAGAATTGCTCCCCCTTACAAGTCCTTGGTCGTTCGCACTCTGGGGATTGGATATAGTGGGGCCACTCCCAACAGCCCCGGGTAATCGCAAATTCTTCATCGCCGCCACTGACTACCTCACAAAGTGGGTTAAGGCTGAGCCACTGGCGACCATAAAGGAAAAGGATGTGAAGAAGTTTGTCTGGCAAAATGTTATCACTCGCTTCGGTATACCCAAGGCCCTCATCTCGGATAATGGCACTCAATTCGATGGGAAACTCTTTCGCAGATTTTGCGAAGAGCTGAAGATCGAATTCTACAATTCAACGCCGACCTATCCTCAGTCAAATGGTCAAGCAGAGTCCTCAAACAAGACCATCCTGGATGGGCTGAAGAAGCGGCTTGAGAAAGCCAAAGGGAAGTGGGCTGAAAAACTCCCTAATGTGCTCTGGGCATACCGCACTACGCCAAGGCGGTCGACCGGGGAGACACCATTCGCCTTGGCTTACGGCATGGAAGCCGTTATCCCGCTGGAAATCGGTATGCCAACCATCCGGTCTGAGAGCTTCCAGCCAGATTTGAACGAGGAAGCAGTAGCATTGGAGCTTGACCTAGCCGAGGAAAGAAGGGAACGGGCTCTGATCCACATAGCGACCTATCAGTAAGAACTCTCCAAGAAATACAACAAGGCTGTGAACCCCAGGCTGTTCAAAATTGGGGACTGGGTCTTAAGAAAGGTGATGGGCAATACGGTGGCCCCTGGCGAAAGAAAACTCGGCGCAAATTGGGAGGGGCCATACAAGGTGACTGGCCTAGCAGGCAAAGGGGCATACCACCTAGAGGACTTAGACGGTAAAGCTATCCCCAGACCATGGAATGCAGCCAACCTTAAGATTTTCTACTTTTAAAATGTAATTGCTTTTGTTGCTTAGCTTTCTAGACCTTAAGCCTTTTGGCATTTGATGTAAGGATAGCGCTGCATTTTGTAATGAAAAATAGCCCTCTTATTGTTTTGTATCACATCTTTCTGTACAATGACACCGCAAGGATACAAGGCCACTGTGGATGCCAGGGGCAAAGGGACCGACCTGAATGGGACCGGACTAATTTTCTATCGCCGGTATAGAAGCGGACCGCACCAACAGTTGATGTATTATTGTCCAGAGAAATGATTGGTGTATGGACCAATTCACGTAAGGGCCGAGCTGGTTTTTTGCTCGCCCAATTGGGATGTTGGCGTCATGACCAACTTAAATGAAATATTGGTGTTTTGCCCAATGTTAAAGCCGAGCTGATTCTGCTCGGCCAAAACGAAATGTTGGTGTTGTCCAACAAATAATAGCCAAGCTGACTTTGCTTGGCAAAACGCTATGTTGGTGCCTTGTCCAACTTACAAGAGGCCGAGCTGACTTCTCTCGGAGAAAGGAAATGTTGGCGTTCTATCCAACTCCATGTCAGAATATTGGTGTTTTGTTCGATTTAATGGCCGAGCTGGTTTGGCTCGGCCGAAGTGAAATAACTGTGATTTGTCCAACCTCCTTTAGGGCCGAGCTGATTTTTGCCCGCCCAAATACAAGACTTGCAGTGTTGTCAAAGCCAGAACGGCAGTGGTAATTTTAGCTCGGCCGACTGAAAATTTTTGGGTTCGTTCAAAAAAACCGAGCTGAGAGTAGCCGCGAACATTTAAGTTGAAGAAATTCTGATTTTAGCATAGCATATTGCGCGGCTAGCCAGCCTATCAGTAATGGTACATTAAAGTTTGAATCAAGAAATTTTGCACGTTGTAGCCGAACAAAAAGAGAAGGTCAGCGGGCAAAAAGTTTAAATTTCATTGATTGAGGAAATTGCATTACAATTGTGGGGCCCTAGCCCGGTTACATTAAACAAAGAAAGAAAAGAAACGAAAAACAAAGCAGGAAATAGGAGGGGGCATTTCAATCCAATTCCAGGTCAACCGTCTGCTCGGCGACCTCCACAGTCTGCTCGGCAACCTCCGCAGTGTGCTCGGGCAAGCCTTCGTCCGACTCATCATCAGCGCCCTCCACCGCGACAACCTCCCGACCGGCTACTTGATCTTCGGCATCCAGAGATGCTTTAGGAGAAGTTTGCTCGGTTTGTTACGCAGCGGCGGCTTCTTCCGCAGCTTCCTTTTTGGCCTCCTTTATGAGCCTCTTCTACGCGGCCCTCGCATAGACCTGCATATAGTGCGGTATGAAGGCCGCAGGCGAATTTAGGAACATGTCAGCATCTTGACCAAGGCCAACTTTCTCCACGGCAGCTTTCCAATCGCACTGGAAAAAGATGTCCTTGGTCGCCTGCACTTACCGTTCATACGTTTTTTCGCCTTGAGCATAACCCTTGTCTTCGACGTCGCTAACCGCCTTATCTTTCTCCTCCTTATGGGCATCATGCAGTTTCCTCAGCTCAATGAGATACCGGGCTTTCGTCGACTTCACGGCCCGCTGTTTGTCCGCTTCAGCTCGGTCAACCTTCTGGCTCAGGTTATCTCGCTCGGCCACAACTGCTTCCTACGCGGCCTTCAGCTTCGTTATCTCGGCCGTTTGGGCCTTGTTTTCAGCAATGGCCTCGCGCAGACTCTGCCGCACGGCGATCATGCGCTCATGGGCGAGATAGTTCTTTTGCGCGGCCTGCAAACAAATGAAAGATTGTGAGTATTCAGAAAACCGAGCAAAAACCGAACAATAACTTAAAGAGAGGAGTGAAGAACTTACCAACACGATCGACTTAGCTGTCGAGCGAAGCACCTTCAGGTTGGATAGCTCGTCGTGCTTCTTCATGTCGGCAGGAAGCATTAGCCCCATGGTCATGTTGAAACCGAGGGAATAATCCTTGTCCGCATACACTGAGTCGGCCGAAGAGATTGCCGACCCTTGTACTTGATCTCGGGCGCCCAGACCGGGGGGGAGGCTGGGCTCTTGGAAGGCCCGGTTGGTTGTTGCTCGGTCTGGTCCCCAGCTCGGTGGAGGCATGTTCAGTGGAGTCCTCATCAACAAGGTGCTGCCCTATCTGGTCTTTCCTCGGTCGCTTCTTCGACCGGCCAGCTGGTTGTTCGCTGGCAAGAGCCAGCACAGCCCCTTCCTTTTGCCCGGCTGAAGTGAAAGATGTTCCCCCGGTTGCTTCCGGTGGTTGGGACTCGCTTTCCTCACCGGTGATCAGGGACTTGATTGCCCGGATCTTCGCCATTTCTTGCTCGGCAGTGAGATGAACAAGTCTGATCGGTGGAAGATTTGGGTCAAGTTCTGGGGAAGAAGCACGGAGGAAGTCGGTAACCCGGCTTTTGCGCGGCGCTTTGTAGTTGGTGGTCAGTTCAAAGCCGAGCAGCATTGCGGACTCTCTTTCTTCTTCTGGATAGCGCAGTAAGACTCTTATGGCCTCCTGGTTAGCCCGGTGGTAGTCTTCCGCTAAGTGCTTGTAATCTGCAAATAGAGAGTGTTAGACCGGCACACTGAGAGACTCATGCAAAAAGAAAATAGTGCGGTTAGCCGAGCTACTCACCAGCACTTCCAAAATCTTTCCTAATATACCAGCCCCGTATGGGCGCCTCGGTGTCCTCGTAATTACCGGACACCCATAAGAAGTCGTCATCATTGGTCTCCTTGTCTGGGTTGCCCTCGATGAGTTTTGCTCAGCCCTTCTTTACTTTTAGATACCAGCAAAGCCCACCTTTATTTTTACTAAGGCTGTACTGGTGGAATATTTCAGCAAGACCGAGATTGAGACCGAGCCTCCTGTTTAGCTCGGCCACGCCGTTTATTATCTTGTATGTGTTGTTCGACACTTGGGTTGGACAAAGCCTTGTCTGCCTCAAGAATTCGCAGATCAAGGGTTGGACTGGGAAGCGAAGTCCTCCTTCGATTATGGACACAACCATGAAGGGGCACCGGTCTAGGTCGCCCCAATGGGTATCTCCCTTCTTGGCCAGCTCTAAAATGGCATCGTCTGGAATATTGTACTCCCTACAAAACTCAACGAGCGCACCGGGCGAGCTCACCATGAATCGGTACTTCCCCATCTATCTCGATTTTATTCGGTGACTTAATTTGTATCTCGGTGAAAAATTTTGGTGTATTTGCTCGGACTTTAAGCTCCACCAGTGATGGTTCTAGACGGGCCTGGTCGGTCCTAGTTTGTTCTGCATTGTTAAGAAACAAGTCCAAGGGTTAGCACGGCATAAATTGCACGGCTTCAATGTGGATTTTTTAGCTTGATGAAGGGTTTCTGGGTGTTCGACCGGTTCGATCCTAACTCGGCTAGACAACTTGGCCGATTTGGCCTTCCTAGTTCGGTTCTGATTCTCTATTTTCGGCTCGGTAAAGGCCCAAGAAGAAAACTCGAATGAGTTATAGCTCGGTTCAGTCTTATTTACGGATCTAATTGAGTGTTCAGCTCGGTCAAGGCCCCAAGTAGAGACCTCGAACAAATTTTAGCTCGATTAAGTCTGATTTACGAATCTAAATGAGCATTTAGCTCGGTTCTGTCCAGTGTTCATCCAGTTCATCCTAAGTTCAAGGTCCATCCATTCAAACTAAGGAGAAACAGGGGCACGAAGGCCCCATTCACCCCTCCAGTTCCAGTTTGCCCTAAGGTGTGCCAATACTACCCCATGGAGGAGGTATTGGTAGGTGCCTAGCATTTCTAAGCAAGAACACAAGCATAAAAACGAAGAATAAGTATGGAGGCGCGGGAAACAGAAACAGGAAATGCAATGAAGAGATAGAGAACTCACCAGGAGCAGATGTGAAGCGAAGTAGGTCTCGCGAGCTTGGGTACGGCTTCTGCAGGGGCGAGAATAAATGAATGTGGAGACGAAGGCTTGGAATGGACGATTGGGGAGCTTGGAGGCTAGGGTTTGCTTGAAAGAGAAAATGAACAGTGAAGAGGCAATAGTGACCCTTCGTGTGATGTTCAAAGAGGAGGAAAAGACCAAACGGCGGCAGCCGTTTGCATTCTGAGCGTGGAAGACAGCTGGGTTGTACGGCCCAATGGCGTGAGGCCACGTGGCACTGAGAGCGCGGCTGTCAGTACGGCTATACGACCCTTGACAAGACTACTGAGGC